GCCTGGGGGTTGGGGGCTGCAGAATGAGATAATAGAGACATTAAGAGCTTCTTTGCACTCTTGGTTTGTTGTTTTTATTGCAAAAATCAATTAAATGTATTTGCAAGAAAACACTGGCGAAAATTATATTATATATGCTAATTAATAACATCCAGAAAATAAAAACAAGGTTTGTATTCATGCTGTGACAAAATATCTGAAAGAAAATTCAATTTTCTTATTTCCCAGTTATTTATTCATTTAATAACTTTGTTCATAATATATACATTATAAAAGAACACAGAAAGAATGCAAACCAAATATTCCTTTGCAAGACTTTCTAGCTAGTTTATAAAAAGTAAACATATGCACATGAAATGGACAAATAACAAAAACCAGAGCATGTGATGAGAGTATATTGCTTGTAAAATGAGATCTGTAATCGTATAGGAGATTAGGAATGAACTGTGACATTTCTCTTTCCCTCATTTCTCACATTCAACACCCAAATTCTATCCATTCCTACTGCTTCCTCTTTGGTTCAAGCCATCATTATCCTCTGATCAAAATTATGTAACATCCTCCTAACTTGTCTGTCTTCCTCCAGTTTTGCTTTACTCAATTGCTGTCCAATTGCTGTCACCAGGATAATCTAAAACAACCAAACTGGTTACGTGTATGGCTTCTCATCCCACTAAGGATAAAGCTCAAACTCTTTAAATGGCTCCTGAGTCTTACCATAATTGGGCCTTGACTTCTCATCTCTCTCCTGTGTTCTCACTCTCTATGGTCTAACCGTGCTGTATTTACTATTCCTTGAATGTGACCTGCTCAGGATCTTCTTAGTTTTATCAGCACTTTACTTTCTTTTTTTTTTTTTTTTTTTTTGCATGATACATCTTTTTTTATGATACATCTTTTACTTATTTATTTTTAGAAGGTACAAATGCAGTTTTGTTGCATAGATATATTGTGTAATGGTGAAGTCTGGACTTTTTGTGTAAACATCACCCAAATAGTACACATTCTACCAACTAGATAACTTCTCATCCCTTACCCCTTCCCATTCTTGTACCTTTCCAAGTCTCCAGTGTCTATGATTCCACTATCCATGTTCATGTGGACATGTTATTTAGCTCTGACATATAAGTGAGAACATGCCATAATTGACTTTCTGTTTCTGAGTTATTTCACATAAGTGTTCCAGTTCCAACTACGTTGCTGCAAAAGACATTATTTCATCCTTTATTATGACTGAGTAATATTCCATGGTATGTATATACATATACTATTACTATATTTTCTTTATCCAAACATCCATTTGAAGTCAGGTAACATGATGGCTTCAGCTTTGTTATTTTTGCTTAGGATTGCTTTGGATATTCAAGTTCTTTTTTTGCTTCCCTATGAATTTTAGGATTGTTTTTTCTAATTCTGTGAAAAATGACATTGGTATTTTGATAGGAATTGCATTGAATCTATACATTGCTTTGGACAGTATAGTCACTTTAGTGATATTGATTCTTCCAATCCATGAGCATGAAAAGTTTTTCTATTTGTTTGTGTCATCTATGATTTCTTTCATCAGTGTTTTATAGTTTTCCTTGTAGAGGTCATTTACGTCTTTGGTTAAATGTACTCCTAGAGGTTGTTTTGTTTTGTTTTGTAGCTATTGTAAATGGGATTGAATTCTTGATTTGGTTCTCAACTCGGTCATTATTGGTGTATAGAAATGCTACTGATTTTTGTACCTTGGTTTTTTTTTTTTCCTTTCTTTAAATTTCAGCATATTATGGGGGTACAAATGTTAAGGTTATGTAATATTGCCCATCTCCCCTGCCACCTCGAGTCAGAGCTTCAAGCATGACCATCCCCCAAACATTGCACATCTCACTCATTATGTTTGTATATACCCATCCCCTCCCACCAATAAATGTTTTTCCTATATGTCCACTTAGGTGTTGATCCATTAATACCAATTTGCTGGTAAGTACATGTGGTGCTTGTTTTTCCATTCTTGGGATACTTCATTTAGTAGAATGGGTTCCAGCTCTATCCAGGAATATACAAGAGGTGCTATGTCACCACTGTTTCTTAAAGCTAAGTAGTACTCCATGCTATACATAACCACATTATTAACCACTCATGAATTATGGCATTTGGGTTGTTCCACAACTTGCAATTGTGAATTGTGCTGCTATAAACATTTGAGTGCAGGTGTCTTTTTCATAAAGTGACTTGATCTTTGGTAGATGCCCAGTAGTGAATTGCTGGATCAAATGGTAACTACTGTATCACTTGATATCTCCATATTGCTTCCACAGAGGTGAACCATTGCAGCCCACTAGCAGTAGGAGTGTTCCTCTCTCTCCCGCAAACCACGCAACATTTATTTTGGGGACTTTTTGAAAAGCCATTCTCACTGGAGTTAAGTGAATTGCATTACCAGTTTTGATTGCTTCTGATGATTAGAGATTTGAGCATTTTTTCATTATGTTGTGCCATTATCGTCCTTGAGACATGCGTTCATCCTTGCTCACTTTGATAGGTTGTATTTCCTGTGATCCGAGTTCTAAGTAAATTCTAGTTATCAGCCTTTTACAGATAGTAGTGTTGAAAATTTTCTCCCATTTCTAGGGTTGTCTGTTGCTCTCTGACAGTTCTTTGGCTGGTGCAGAATTTTTAATTGATCAGCCATTTATATTTGTGGCTGCTGATGCCTTTGGGTTCTCATAAATTATTTGCTAGCCAATGTTAGAAGATATTCCAACGTTCACACCTAAGCAATTGTACCAGTGGATTTTGATTTTGTGAGAGATGAAAGGTGTGGTCCTGTTTCATCTCTACATGTGGCTACCATTTCCCAGCACCCATTATTGAATCAGGATCTTTCCAGTGTAGTTTTTTCTGCTTGTCAAAAGATAGTGGGTATATGAGAGGTTATATCGGCTTCTCTTTCTTTCCACTTCAATGTCCTCCTGGCAATCCCAAGCTGGTTAATACAAGGCCTTTAGTATGTAAGTGGAAATGATACCTCCTATTTGTTTTATTCCTAAGTTATTGCTATATGGGCTTCTCTGGTCCATACGAAGCAGTAAAATTATTTCTATATCTGGAACTGAAAAAAGGAGATGGTATTGTTGATAGATTGTTGACTCTTAGTCACTGGGTCATAAGACATTTTAACAATGTTGACTGCGACCCATGAGCAGGATATTTCCCCGTTGTATCCTCTGCTATTCTCTATCAGTTTTCAATTCTCCCTTCGAGTCTTTTACATCTTATAAATAATTCTAAGTTACGTTAGTTCTGTTGCTATTTGAAAGGGAATTGAGTCTTAAATTTGGTTCTCACTTGTACTGTTGTTGGCGTATATGAATGCCTCTGATTTCTGTGTATTGATTTTGTATCCTGAGACTTTACCAAATTCCTTTATCAATTCAAGGAGTCTCTTGTTTGAATCCTTGGGGTTTTCTAAGTATAGTATCATATAATCAGCAAAGAGTGAGAGTTTGATCTCTTCTGCTCCCATTTGGACACCTTAATTCCTCTCTCTTGTCTGATTGCTGTAGCAAGGACTTCCTGCACTATGTTGAATAGAAGTGGAGATGGTAGGCAACCTTTTCTAGGGAGAATCTTTCTGATATCTAGGTTAGAGTAGGATGCCCTGGCATTTTTTTCATATTTCCTTTTTAATTTTTCAATCATAATAAAACTTACTTGTTTAATTACTTACTTTCTGTGATAGCAAGTTTTGTGGTATTTGTCATGGAGTCCCTAGCACCTATACAGTACCTGACACATAGCAGATGTTGGGTATTTTCTACATGAAAGAATGAATATATAAAGAGAGATGGTGTGGCTTACGAAGGCCTCATTGAGAGAGAGGTTTTGAAGAATGAGTACCTATTTCGATTAGAGGATAAAAGGATAAATACTGCATAGCTAAATAATGTTTGTCTACATGTGATTTTTCATCCAGGTGTGTCATTGTGTGCATGCAGCCAAAATACCAACCTTGTATCTGAACCTGTACAGTTAGAGGCCGTATTTTCTAAAAAGGGATAGTATGTATTAGTCTACTAAAGAAGCCAATTTCTTAAGATTCATTGTGACTAGTCTCCAGGATAATACATATCATACTCTTCAAATACTGTGAGTGGGAGAAGGGAAATTATATTGATTTATTATTGTTATTTATCTAAAACATTTTCTGTATAACACTTTAGCTATTATCAAATATCAGTTACTTTATTTCACAGGCATATAAAGTGTTTTTAGTGTCATTAATTCAGACTGTGTATAACATGAGGGCTGTTTTAGAATATTATGTTGTACTTGATGTTCTAATTTTGAATTTAGTTAAATTGACTATAATCTAAGGTTTTTTTTGTTTTTGTTTTCTGTATTTCTAAAATACAGCTGTTTGCCACATGATAAAGAGAAAGCATTTCCAATTATAATTTTATAGAATATTGATTCTGTATCATCAGACTGCTAATCAATCTTAAAATTTTCTGATTCTGTTATGTTGTGATTAAAAAAAAGTATTGCTAGACCCTTGATGAATAAGACAGTGAAAATTCACAATAAAAATGCCAATAATTTACATAGGTTTCATTCTTAGGTTTAACCATGCAGTCTTGGAATTTGATAATAGCACATGATCTTTTGCATGTTAAACTCTTTAGAGGAGTATATTAAGTACAAATAAAAAAGGTATGTTGGTCTGAAGAATCTTAAATACAAATGAAATTCCTGAAAATTAAAAAGTGAATATGCATTTACCTATCTATTTACTATAATACAATTATCAAAGATTGACACAATAAAAATCCTTCATTTTTAGGCACTTGTAATTGTGATGGGTTGGATAAGTGATAATACATGTAGTTTAGAGAGAAGATTCCTTTAAGAGAGTATAATTTTGCTTGTTAAATCATAAAGCTTAAAGCTTAGTCATATATTGAGAAAGCTGCCTAATAATTAAGAATTGACATTTTAACACAGCATTTGCAACAGACACATTGGATACTTAGTTAAATAGAACATTGTTTATTTTTAAAGGACTGAAAAAAATATCAAACTCTCCATGGCAAGTGAAATCTTCATAGTAGCAGAAATGGAAAACCTGAAGGATGTGGCTTATTTTCTGTTTGGATGATGCAGAATTGCTCTAAGCAGTAAGCTTACTGTTTTCAGACAGCATTAGCAGCATCAGCAAATACAACTGTGTCAGTCTCTCTTAGTACGGGGTGTTTGTAACTGCATAGGGGAGACGATAAACAGTATATGAGATCTGATATCTTGATAATGGCTTAAACAGATACTGATGGACAGATCTACTGTTTGATATTTTCTTCACTAACCCTGAAGATGCTATGCTGAGAGATAGAGATGGCTGTGATTATCTTTTTTTAAGACAGGAAATGCAATCTTTAGGGGTTCCTGGAAATAGAAAGGTCATGCAGTCTGGAACGTGTGAGCCTTTTCAATCTCTAAGTCATCAGGTATGACCTCGTGAATTATGATGATATATTAGAATGCAGGGTTATTGTCTTTTCTAGTTCTTACTCATTTGGAATTTATTCATTACTGTAATTGTTTATTGTCAGATTTTCCTTAGGATATTTGAACAAGTAATATTTATAGTAATGGACAGCAGCTAAACAATCTGAATTTTAGAAATGTGTGTGTATGTGTGTGTGTGTGTGTGTGCCTGTGAGTGTATATGACTGTGTTTGTGTTTACTTTGGCTTTTTTGGGGAAGTGGGGTAAAGGAAGAGATTTTTTTGGATGTGAATGAAAGCAAGGTTTGGGGCTCTTCAGATTTTTCCAGACTCAGCCTGAATAGAATCTCTCTGCATCTTTTACTTCAAGTGATAAAAATAGCATAAATTGATCAAACTGATAAGGCTATATAATAACTAGCTGCTTACAAATAGAGATATATTACAAATATTTTTTATTATCTGGAATTTCTTAAGCATACAGATCAATGCTGCTACCATTATAGTATGCCATATAGCAATAAAAGTTTGGTGAGTAGATTCGTGTTTATCAGCATCTGGACTATAAGTTAATTTCCTGAAATGTATATTGCAATATCTGAACTGTTTTAAAGGGCATTGGTTTTAATCATTTTTCAGATCTATTGAAACACGTTCTTAGTGCTTTTATTGTACATAGCTGCTTAAAGCATTGCTCATAGATGAAAGCAGATTATAAATCTGTTTTTCACAAAGAAATCTTGGAGCATTTAAGGTTGTTGAAGATTTTTGACCCGGAGAGCTTTGGCATTTGCTTACTTTCATTTTCAAACTGAAAAGACTTGACTATGTTAAACATGTTAACTACAAAGAATAGAGAATCATCAGCAAAGGATTTGAATTTATGTATCTATTTTGTCCTGAAACTCTGGTATTTATTTTAAATTATTTTTACCTATCAAGTTACAATACATTTAACTTTGGTTTATTATAGTATATCTTCAGAATTACATACTTGGGTAAGAAACTACCTATGTTTGACATTCATATTTTGAAGGATCTATGTATTTTTTTGGTGTTACACATATTTCTACCTCAATTATAGAGCACTTGTCAGATACTTCACATTAAATGACCAAAAAGAAACAAAAATGATGGAGCATTCCTCAACAGAAAGACAGTTTTGTCTTCATGATTCTGTAGCATGATTATGATTTAATGCCTCATCAAGGTGAAATGACATAGATTTAAAAAAGAATGTTTTTAAGGAAGTTTGAAACTCAATTGATTCAGTTAAGGGGTTTCTCCTTTTTAATTAAAAACACATTGAAAAAATTCTACCTACTGATATTGGCTATAATTTGTATGTTATTCAGGCTACTTAACCAGCTTATATTCTTATTAGTAGGGAAGATTGCCATATTCTTAAGCTTGATTAATTTTGGAATGATTTGAATATACCTTTTAGTTGCTACAAAACCTGTTTAATCTGTTAGAATTTATTTCCAGTATTTGCATGTATTAGTCACCATGAGTACATTCTGTTTCTTGGCATTGCTTTGGGATTCCTCTAGGTATTGGTTCACAGCATTCTACTATTTTTCACTGTATTCGTGACCTTTCAAAAGAACCAAACCATAAAGGTTTTTGTTTACTTTCCTTTAGTGGTACTTAAATGAGAATCTCCATAATTTTTTAAGGTGAAAGAATTAGTGCCTTAGAATTGTTCTTTCTTTTACAAATCAGAGAGAAATTTCTCTGTTACTATGTCAAAATACATTACATTAAAAAGTAAAGACCGGTTAAATGCAGCAGACTTTTAAATATAATGTCAACTCTTCTTCCTATGTGGCAAGATGATCTTGACCTTTTGAATGATAAAATTGATTGTAAACCTGCCCAGTAATGATTGGTCATCTTTTTACAAAGGTTGCCTGTCTGTACTATTTTACACATGCATTTCATTATACATCATACAGGTTTCTATAGGTAGGCTGTCTGTAAACAACTATTTGAGTAATTCTTCAATTCCATAAACATTATGTGAAAACTGATCATTTGCACAATACTATATTTGGTATTGTAAGGAATATACAAAAGAAAAAGTCATTTCTTGCTTTCTAGGAGATTATGAAAAAATGTATACAATGAACTGTATGCACATTTTGAATTGACTTTTCATAAGTGACATGCTACAATCAGTTTTAATCTGTAAACTGATGAATCTTAGGATGAGTTACATATAACTCTTTTTTTCCTCATGTAAATTTCTTAGTATTAGAGAAATAAAAGTTTGGGTCAAAGTGTATTATTATGTATTCCATAATTTTATTGACAACTCTTTTAGAATGCATAATTTGTTATATCAGGGCTTTATAAATGGAATCAATAAATAGTTAAAAGCCATCATTGTTGATGTCTATACATAGCCTCTTACTGCAGCCAGAATGAAGGTGGGCCTAGCCCATTGGTAGGAGGCAGAAGCAGGGACCCCAAGAATCAGCTCAAAATAGAGATGTAACCAATCCAGTTTAATTCCAGGCTAGGTATGGTAATTAAATATTATGGAAGGGGTTTTTGATCCCCTTCTGTAATACTTAACTTTATTCAATGTTAAACTTTGGAAATAAAGAGTAGCAAGCATGGAAGTGTCTCATACTAACTAGGTCATTTAGAGAGTCCTTTGAATAAAATGAGGAGAATAGTATTCACCTCAGGCTCTAAGAAATGGGATTGGGGGCAACTAGTATAGAAGTAGACCTTACCACTGACTGGAGGACAGTCAGGCATTAGTCTCTTCACTTTCATACTAGTATGCTTGCTGCAAGTAGCAGGGAGGAAGATAGAGCAGATATAAAACCCTTGTTTCTCCAGAATCCCAACCCGGGACATCCTGCCTTATAGTGCCCCCAAAGTGCCTGTTTTCTTGTACTTGAGCAATAGGAAGTTGGTTTGCAAATTCTCCTGGTTTGTAAGAGCTGGATGTAGTAAGAGACTGTATAGTAATTCTGTGGTTTCATGTCTGGATTACCATGTTCACTGAGTTCAAATTTTAGCTATACTACTTACAGGCTGTATGATCTTGGGTTGTTTCCTCATATGTAATACAGGGATAATAATGGCACATTCTTCAAAGAGTTGATGTGAAGATTAAGTGAGTTAATGTATAAAAAGAACTTATAATAGTAGCTGTCATACAACAAGCACATTATTGTCAACATCATTTGTTGACAGACTTTATTATATACATTCTAAGAGGAAGGATGGGCTATTGGCAGGCCTTTGTAACGATAGTCATGCAGTTTATTTTTGTTCCCTCTCCTTCACTGCCCTTATCAAATAAGAAGTTCAGCCAAAAACATATGCTACATTGAAATAAAGATGATTATAAAAATGCAAACAACATTCTATATCTGAATAAATTCTAAAATTTATTGACAATAAGAATTGTGACTTGATGAAAAATTTTGTATTTAAAGTTTTTTTTTGCATTTGCCTACTAGGCTGATTTAAACTGTTAGGGTTCTATGTGTGTAGATCCTTTGCTTTCATATATTATTAATATAAGAACTACTTAATTCATGACAGAAAGATTACTAGGCCTTTGGGCAAATTCAAAAGTGATTTCAAGTCTTTCTTGGTTATATGTTAAGATAAAAAATAAGGGGTAAAAATTGAAATTTAAAGAAAACAATAGGGCCAAGTTTACATAGTTTAATGACCTGAGTTATTAGTCCTCAAAAATGTTCAGGACAAAAAATTTCACTGAATATTAGATGTAACTTGTTTTAGTAATTTTATTTATTAGTGAGTATTTTTATTCTAAATGAAAGATTAAAATTAAATGTGTTATAAATAGAATACTACATATATGAATAGAACAATTTGATTTCCAATTTGAGAGAGTATATAATATTTTGAATTGCTGGAGATTATTTAATGTAAAAACAGCTATCTGCTTAAAAATTGTCAATAAACTCCTAAGTACAAGTGAGTAATTTGTTTTTTGGATGAAATTCAAATGCTTAAATGTTAACATTTTGTTACATCTCTTAATTTCTCTTCTCTTGAGCAATGTCCTCAATGTGCAGCTATTTCCCCAAAATTGGCAGAGAATCAATTAAATCTCAGAATAATGCAATTTGTTAAAACAAACGAACCAACAATACAAAGCCCTGCTGTGTTCTAGTAAGCACTGCACTGGGCAAAGATATAAAGATCAATAGGTCCACACTTTCAATGGGTCGCAGACAGTAAGTTATAAACACTAAATATTATACAAGTGACTGTAACAGAATGCACTATAACAGAATGTACAAAGTAGCAACTGCCATAGAGATTGGAAAGAGAGACGAAATGGGTACAAATTATTTATGCTGGTTCAGTGTGCAGAATACTTCACACTAAGTAGGGAAGGGAGAGGAGAGGCTATGGGGAGTTAGAGATACATGAAAAAGGTAGCATCTGAGGTTCACCTTAACGACTGGCCAAGATAGGGAAAAGGTCATTTCAGGCAGAGGAAACAACATGGTTAAGGGTAAGGAGGTAGAAAACAAATAATATGCTTGAGTACTAAAGAATAGTCCATTTTGGCTATAGTCCAGTGGGGGTAATTCAGACTATCGCAGGAAAGGTTTGTCAGGACCATATAGTGTAGTGTCTTGAATGTTAGATTATGCTTTCTAAACTGAGAACATTTCTTTGCTGATCTACTTATTCCTGGGGAAAAATAAAAAACAAAAGAGCAATACCTATATTTTGAAGTCGATTTCAGAGCTCTAACCCTCTTGAGACTTTGAAAATGAAAATTAAATTCCTGAGTAGATTTAGTAGTTAGTAGACAAGGTAGGGGGTAGAAGCAAAACGAAGGATTTTAATAAAATTCTCTATCAGAATTGCACGTGAGAGCATTTCTCAGCGTATCCACAGGCACTAAAAAGTCCTAGATTTCAGATCCTAAGAGACCTCCTGCTTGTCCCTGATGTAAACGCTAGTTTATTGGTAGGTAATCTGATTTAGCT